AAAAATTTCTTTATTATATTATTTATATATTTTATAAAAATATAAGCATTCTGTTGTGAGGCAGAAGGATAAAGGTGTGAATTCAGGGAAGGGAAGAATGTGGAAAGAAATCTTTTTCTTACAAGACCTTTTTTCTTAAATAGTGTTCATGAAGTTCTGTTTTTTTATTTATCTGAAGATCAGATTGTGTGGAAATACTGAAGAAATGTGGAGATCATAATAAATTCCCTGAAGGCCACTCAGCTGAAAGTATTTGTGAGCTCTTATCTCCAACAGATGACTTGGAGAACTGTATCCCTTTGGATACATACCTGAGTAAGTATCAACATACCTATGCAACACCATTAGAAACCAAGATACTTTGAATGCTTATCGTTGCTTTTAATGATTTTCATTATTTCTTTTAAAGAAAACTCTATTGAATTTGAGACATGGTATTAGAGAAAATCGGAAATTTTTCAACTTGCCATAGCTCATTATGTTTATCCCTTCTTGTGTTGGTTGTATGTGGCAAGGCTGTTTTGGAGGCTGCAGGGACTGTACAGGAAGATGTCAGAGTGCCAGACACAGCCAGCTCATCAGTGGGCCTGCTCTAGGCCAACACTGAGTCACTTGTGGTGCCTCTGTGAAAACATGTTTAAGAAAGGGCAAAAAGTGCCAGACAGATGGAGGAGAAGGGAACAGGAAGAGTGAGGAAAAACAGAGGTAGCACCAAGGGCAGAGGAGCAGGAGTGGAGAAGGTGCTCCATGGCAGAGCAGATATTCACAAGGCAGCCTGGGGAGGATGCCATGCCACAGCAGGGGGGTATACCCTGAAGGAAGCTGCTGCCCATGGAGAGCCCATGCTGGAGCAGAGGAAAGGTGTGAGAAGGAATGAGCAGCAGAAACTGCTGTGTACTGACCATAGTCACTGTCATCTTCCCCCTTCTCAACCTTCATTGCATCACCTGGGGCAGGGGCAGAGAAATCTGGAGTGAATGAGTAAAGGTGATCCTGGGAAAGGGAGGAAGAAAGAAGTTGCTTTAATGTTTATCTTTTTGTTCGCATTACCTGAATCTGTAATTAGATATTTATTTTAATTGGCAATAAATTTAATTAGTTTTCCCCAAGTCAAGCCAGTTTTGCCCACAGTGGTAATTCTTACACAGTCTCCCTGTCTTTATCTCAACCCATGAGCTTTTCTGTTCCTTTTCTACATATTTTCTGCCTCCACCCCCTTTGGGGTGGGGGGCCTGGGTGGGAGTTTGGCTGTTGGCCAAGGCTGACCTACCACACTTCTCTTTTAGGGACTTCATATATTCAGTGCACTAATCTGTATCATCTAATAATCTGGCTTGTTGAATGTCAATTATTTTTACCTACTTGAAAGTACACCAGTTAATCTTACTTTAAGAAAACTGTTCTTCAAGAAGTCATCTCACATGCCCAAAAAGTTTACAGAACAAAAGCTGGGTCATGCTTGGGAGGCCTGATCTCAAATAAATGTCACTGCAACAGTGATGTGATTTAGAGCACAACTTATTAATGTACAAAATTACAATTCTGCCTTATGTGTAAACTCTGTTTTTAACTGTGCGGTTAGAATAACCAAAAATCAAATTAACTCTTGGGGCAATATGATGTGAGTTTAGTTGTGATTCTGTTTCCTTCTAGCATGTCTTATCCCTCAGTGTGGAACACAGTTGTATAAGTAAAATTTCATCTTGGTTCTAGATTTCATTTAACTACATCTTCTTATGTTATTTTCCAAATCTGGGCTATCCTATTACTGCTTCCTAATGCATATTTATCTCTGTAGGATTTAGACCTTTTTAGCTTTAAAGGATTTATCCATTTTAGACCTTGTTCCTTATTAAATTTCGATATTTTTGTCTCGGAATGCCAGGAACGATGAAAATAGTAAAATTTTGGTTAGTAAAAGCTGCAACTGAAAGCATGCCTTAACAAATAAATTGTTCCCAGAAAGACAACATATTGAAGCTTTGGGTGGTTCTTTCTGTTTAGCTGCTGCTCTTCCATGTTGTCTTCCCTTAATCTTGTAACATGAGAACACCACTAGTGAGTTAAAGGGAAAAAGAAAATAAGTTTATCAGTGATAGCAAACTTAGTTAACCTCCAATTTGTTAATCACTGACTATGGGATTTCTTCATCCAGTAGCTTAATCAAGAGGAGGTATATTTTGCTAGTGCAGAGTCATCTGGGTCATTATATCCAAGATTGAGGACTAAACTTTTGAAAGAAGTTAACTACCTTGTCATGTCAAGTCTAACTTCTACAAGTATAGTTAAAAAAAAAAAATAACAGAATTGTCAACAATACTATTTTACTGAATGTAAGAAATGCCATGTTTTAATGAAGAAAAATAAACCTCATTTAAATCAATATAGATGCTGTGTATTCTGCTTTCAGGCCCAAGTTCTTTAGGTAGCATTGTAGAAGATGTTACACATCCATGTAATCCAAATCCATGTGCAGCTAATCAGTTATGTGAAGTAAATAGAAAAGGATGTCAGTCTGGAGAGCTGTGTCTTCCATATCTGTGTGTGCCAGGTAAGGGTTTTTGGACTTCTGTTTACCTGAATTTTGCTGATGAACGCATGTTACTGAAATTTTGTTGGAAGTTTTAAAGTGAATTGCTGATATCCCAAAAGAACTATTATCAGAATTATCTTGTGTTTTCAAAAGCTGTAGCCTACCTTCTAGCTCTTTTTCATTTCTCGATGTGTTTCTGCTTCTGTTGTCCACTGAAACATAGTATCTTATTAGATGATGTACTACATATTTTGCTTCAGAAGAAATAAATGTCCTTACATGGTCTCTAAGCTGCCTGCCTGCTATTTAAAATTACAAGCATGGAATATTGCAAATACAGTGCAGCTCACTGCTTCTGGTGTGTATTGCCCTGCGTTTCCATACATTAGTAGTCATAGCTGCGTTAGTTTCCTTACTGGTGAAGTAAGTTGACATTATATCTTGCCTTGAAATTAATGAAAATCAGGCTGTCAGTCTTGGGAGGACATTTTGAGAGCTCTGAGAATCTGACCAAATGCAGGGTACCCTGGGATGTATGTTTGCACTGGCAGCAATTCCAGTGTTACATTAAAGTTCATGGTGGTATCTTACATGAATTGTCCCAGATCCTTCTTCACAGGCCAGGTCAACTTCTCAAAGTCTCCTTGGGTATCTCACAGGTAACTAATTCTGGTCTGAGTCAATTAATACCCAGAATTTTTCTTAAGAGCTTCAGTGGATTCAGACTGCCCAGGTTTAGGGCTTAGGAAGGAAGTGGCATAGCACATAATTTATTTGCCTCTCTTTTCTTTTCTCTACCACTTGAATTTGCAGCACTGATGCAGCATCTCTGCACTTCATAATGACTGACAGTGCTGTCAGTTCATTGACTGGAGAAAAAGGCAGAACTGCAAGGCAGATCAGCTCTGTGTCTGTCCCAGATCTGTATGTAGACTTGTAGTTTGGAGAAAAAAGCCACTGTCTTTGGAAAATGACAAAAATGTGAATAATGGATCTTGTGCTGCTTTGTCCTTCCACAAGACTCACAGTACCACTTCTCATTAAAGATGACATCTGGAGATGCAGCAGTCACACAGCTGACTGCACTTCTGCTGCTGCTCCTTTGAGTGATCCTTTTAATGTAGGGGCACTTCACTAGGAAGGCATTTGTGGTCATTTGGGAACTACTTTTTAGAATAAAGGCGTTGTCTAACTTCTGCACTATGAGTAAATGTGAGCTGATTGGAGAGAGAGCCTCATGTAGAATGAATTTCAGCTATCTCGCTTTGAAATGGCAGGCTTGGATGGTGCTGGTAACAAGGGTCAGATCTTCAAAAGGAGGCGGGAGACTACAGTGTCCAACCTCGTGTCCAACCTCCACAGCCCCATTCATGTCTACCTTAGACACCAGTAGTGCTTGCCACAACTTTTCCCCTTCCTTGAAAGCCAGAGGTATCATTCAGTGATATGAGGGATCACTTATGAAGCAGAGAGGAAACCCAGCATTTGGTCACTGCTTGAACACGTGTATTGAGAGGGGCTGAGCGTGTGAGCGTGACACTGATGTTTAATCTGAATGGCGTGAAGCAGCCTCCTTTCTAGAGAAAGTGATAGACAACATTGACATTACCATCTCATCAGTTCCCTGTGCCTATTTTCCAGCATTCTGTGGCTGATCAGCAGTTTCTCCAGTGATTTTTAATTACAAAGAGGAAAACTGGGTTTAGCTTCACTTGTACATCTGCTACACTTGTGCTCTTCTAAAAGTGAGGATAGACTTTAGCTCATTCTTTTTGTGAACCTAGGGACATTGTTCTGGCTATGTTTCTATGACCCTCCCGAAGTATTTTTGTTTTTCTGAAAAACTGAGCATTATTAATATAGATGTTGTATTGTCTTCACTTGCTGCAAAAGTCAGTGATCTGGAAACAAGCTCACGCAGAGCTTTTGAAAAAACAATTTCCTTCATATCAAGGTTGCAAGGTGACTTTTATGTTTGAATTCAGTTTCAGTATTGGTTGAAAGTTTTGAGGGATTTGTTTCAGTTCATCACTTACTTCAGAACACTGTCTCAAGCGAGTACCTTCTATTTCTGCTACTTGCTGCCTCTACGAAATGAGTCAATTTGTGTAAAGGGTGAGAGAAAGACTGCTTTAGGAGCACCTTAGCTTTTTCATAGGTCAAAGAGTAGTAGTAATTTTTGGTAGTGGCACTTGCCAAAGTATTTACTAAATATGAACTAAAATTTTTCCTTGTATATAGGTTGCAAACTGGGAGAAGCCTCAGATTTTATTGTCCGTCAAGGTACACTTATTCAGGTTCCGTCTTCAGCTGGTGATGTTGGTTGTTACAAGATTTGTACCTGTGGACACAGTGGATTGCTGGAAAACTGCATGGAAATGCGTTGTGTTGACCTCCAAAAATCATGCATTGTTGGAGGACAAAGAAAAAGTAAGTGTTAGAACAGTAATTATATCCTTATACAGTATCTGTTACTTAAGTAATGAATTTTGAGGTACATATGAAGATGCAGAAGATCCAAATACGAAGCTTATCAGAAATTAAAAACGTTAATGTTTGTATCTCTATATATGATGCTTGTTTAATTCTTAAATGTGCTGGAGGGCTCCATCAGATAAATCAATACTGAACTGTGTCCATCTCAACCAATGAAAATCTTATGTGAAGCATGTTCTTAGTACACTATTTTTCAACTAAAAGGTCACTGACTTGCCTCACATCCCCTGTATTTTATGGTACTTGATAATAGGTATCTTCCTTTCTGGTAGAATTTGCTGGTGGGAGCTCTGAGGATTGAGGAGGGAAAAAGATCTGAAAGGAGCCAGGAGGCAGCAGGGATGAAGCAATAACAGCAAAACAAATTGATGTGCTCTAAGTGTGCTGTAGTTCCGAGGTTTAAGCATGGTATAACTTAGTATAAATGGCTGCCCATTTCCTGGATTTCAACTTTGCGGGTACTCTCAGTCTACTTTTAACAGCATTCAATATCCAGTGACCAACAGAGGTGTCTGGGGAAGAGTATGAGAAAAGGCAGAGGATTTAATCGTACTTTCCACAAATATTCTAACCGAATCTCTTCTGGGGGTGGTGGTTTCTTTACTAGCCCTACATGGTTTTACAGGTTTTGGTTTTCTTTTTTTTCTTTCCATCCATGGATTTTAAATATGGGTTTAAAAAAAACACAAAAAAAACAAAGGAAAATAAACCAAAACAAAACAACAAAAAACCCCCAAACCATTTATCATGACCTTCAGCAAGAAATTGCACGCATTTGTCCCACATGTGCCTAAAAACCTTCCTTTCTTTTTTTTTCCTGGTGGGGTTCACAAGGGATTTCTTTTAATTTGAGCTTTGATAGTTTGTTTCATCAGGTTCCTCTTAGTCCTTGAGACTGATCCTAGTTCTTGTGTTGAAAAAGCTGACGAATGATTGTTGCCTGTTTGCCTCCTCTTTCAGAGCTCCACCATATTCACCTCAGCTTTCTGGGGTTTTCTCCAAGCCAGTTCCTATTCCATTTAATCATTCCTTATATGAAAACAATTGTATGCTTTTTGATCATACTTATTACCCTACTGTGTGACTTTTTCTTGTCCTTGAAATGGGAACTGGAACTTCATGCACTATTCACAATCCAAGTGCCCAGTCAAGTGTATGTAATAGCAAAATGATGTTCCTTTCATAATTATTCTGAACACTGTCTTTTTTTGGCTACTAATTCTATTGAGGTCATGCTTTCACAGAGCTGTCTATTGTAACACCATGGCCCAGTTCTTAAATGGAAATGGTCGGCTTACAGCTCACTGTGTGAATTGTAGAGAATCACTTCATGTTCAGTAAAATTAATTTCTTCTGCTGTATCCTTAGATTTTCTTGCAGTTCATTATTTGGTCATTTGTACCTTAATGTTATTGATAGGCTTTGTCATGTAAGTGCTTGCATTTGGTTTTTGGATCTCATATAGATATGTTGAACAGAGCAGCCACTGTATAGATCATGGGGACTCTTCCAGTGACCTCCCTTCATTGTTCATTTACTCTGTTTCACAGTTATTTATCCATGTGAGCACCTCTTCTTCCTATCTCTGCTTTTTTCTTGAAAGCCTATGTTAAAGAGCTATTAAATCTGATGAGTATTGAAGTGTATCAACATAATTTTCTGTTGTCCACATGCCTACTGACTCCTTCAGATAATCCTAAAAGATTTGTTTTGTGACTTGCACAAAAAACTGATTCCTTCCCCCAGTGTACCATATTTAGAGATGTGTTCACTGATGCAAACTTTTATACTTTTATGCCATTCATGTTGCACAAAATTAAGTTTACTTATCTTTATTATCCACAGAATGCTTTAAAATATATATATTCATATGTATATTAGCTACTTGCATTGGTGTCTAAAGTCTGGGGAAGTTTAAAGCAAGAAGTTACAAATAAGTTCTCTCATATTAGCAGGTATTTCACACCTGAATTTGTTGGCAGTTTTTGGTGAATATTTCTGGTCTTACAGAGTCAATAGCATTTGTCTGTCCAAGAGCTACTTGTGAGGCAGGTTCGCTAACACATCAGCTGGGAAGAGGATGCTCAGCTTAGATTTTTAACTTCCTCTGCAAGGAACAGGGGTGCAAGAAAAATCTTGTCTTTTGTTGTTGTTACTGACTTTTCTGAGTGCTGCTTTTGTGTATTGATCAGGTGTTCACTGTATGGTCCTACTACAGACCAAGCTGGAGGTGTAAAAGTCACATAAAACTAGTTTTATCAAAATAGCTGTTGAAGTCTAAATTAGCCGTGAACAAAAACAGCAGTCACTGGATGTGTTCCCAATGGTCACATGCACAGAGGCACATACACACACTGCTACCACGGCCAGCCACAGTGATCACCGCAGACAGAAGTTAGTGCTGTTAGTGGCACGCACAGCACTGACGTGTTCAACATGTGTACAAATATACTAGAAATGTGTACCTTCCATAGACTGTCCTCTGCCCTTGGATTTCTTCGAAACCTTCGTAGCCTGCAATTAAGTATCTCAAAGTGGCCTATGCATTTCAGAAAAAGAACTTACTGAGCTCTTTAGTGAAATTTATATTAAATAAGAATTATAGTTTAACATATTAATCAGTGGGGCTAACTTTTTTATTAACATATTAATCAGTGGGGCTAACATTTTTATGCTTAAAAATGAACATGTAAACACATAATCATGATAACAAAGCCATATCGAACACCGGTTTTTTAAAGTCTTCCTCAGCATTGGTGGGGTCTAGACCTCATGCTGATTTCCTTCTGTGAAGTAACTGTAAGAGGAAGAGCTTTTTATTTAAACAATAAAAGAATGCTGTCTCTTTCTTTACTTAGGTTTAAATTATTAATTTGCTAAAATAACTTTGCTGTTACTGTTCAGAGATTAAATTGGCATGGGTAGCGAGCATTAATTGGGTTCTACCTAATCTGTCAGTCAAAGTACCTGAAAGAGACTTGATAAATAAATCCTCTTAAGAGACTATACTGATCTATTTTCAGAGCATTAAAGGAGTATTTTTGTCATGAAACTGGCACTGTTGTCTTTGAAAAAGAAAAAGAAAACAAAATAAACAGCTACTACTAAGATAAGGAAAATCTTACAAAATGTCTTGAATATGAAATGGAGTCTGTTCTGAGCTGTAACCCATCTGAAGCTCATGTCTTTGAATCATTTGGCGAGCAAGAGCTTTTCTGCTGATGAACAGTTATGTACTTCAGTACCGGCCATTGTTTAGTCATTTTGAAATACTGTCAGAGTGACATCCAAGCATAACTAAAGCAAGTCAAAGATACCTGATAAGTCAAAAATAACTTTTTCTGCCACGTAATAAGAAAGTTATTTTCACTTTTAGTAAATCTTAAGAAGCAAGGCACTTGTTGTAGTTACATTTGTCACAAACATAGTTCTCTGATTGTAAACCAAACCCTGAAATCATGAAAGAGTAGGTAATTGAGAGATATTTTTCTGTTAAAATATACCAAGTGGAGCTAAGTAATTAACTGTATTATTATTTTCGTCATTCAGGAAAGTCTGTCTGTAATGTTCCATGCATTTACAGCTTGTAATTTTGGGGTTGTATTGTTTAGGTTTGGTTTTTTGTTGGTTTTGGAGTTTTTTTGCTAATCCAAAGGAGATAGAAGTCAGCCAAACATACTTTTAAAACTTATTTTATATTACCATATTGGTACTATTTGTTCATGGAAGCAGAACACTGAAAAGATCTTAACTTTAATGATATATTTGATGGGCAGTTATAGAAAGTATCTGGTGAAAGTAGATACTTTTAAAGTACAGTCATTAGCAAATATGTTCTTTAAATGGTGACTGAAACCTTTTATGGACCATTCTGTCCAATGAAACTTGAAATTTGTGAAAATAATGACAGAAATGTCTGAAGTTGTTTGTGTGTTATGTTTGCACAGCGTACAGCTGTCACGTGTTGTGGTAACTGTAACAACAATATGTGATTAAGACTCTAGGTATTTTATAATGCAAGATAAAAATTACTAGATGCCAAATGTGTTAGATGATGTATTGAAAATAAATAATTTAAAATGTATGATTACCATATGAACTTTCTGTAGTTACTATATTTAATTGGTTTATAAATCAGTTGCAAAAATGTAGCGTTCAGTCATAAAAGCTGAACTGTTGTTTTAAATAATATTCTCCATAAACCAAACAACTCTGAATGCTTTATCTGATGCTTGGGGTTTTTTGTGTGCTGTGAATTGACTCCAAATATGAAACGACTACTGCTGAAGAGGACAGTTTGCTGTGTGCACACTTTGATAGTGAAAGCCAAAAGTCTTGCAAAATTTTCAAGTTACTCTTTACTCTGAAGACTCACCTCAGAGACACTGTATTTGACACTACCTTCAAATCTTGGAAGTTTTTCTTCCTCCCTGCAGACAAATTGCTTCTTCCTTGGGTAGTACTGTGTTTTAAACTGAGTTTTTTGTGCTACAGCTTTCTCTTCCACCTCCTCTTGTTCTGCCATCATTTGTCTAGGAGTACTTCTTCCAAATTGCTCAGATGCTGAGGATTTTCCTTGTGCCCCGTTTTTCAAAATTTCTAATCCTTAATCTCAACCTTTTCAAAAGGGAGAGAATTGCCTTATTCTGTAAGGCACGATTACTCTTATGTTTTACTGAAGAGCTGTGTGTCTCTTGTCAGTCTTATGGATAGGTCGTCTGTCACCAACATGAGTTGATTTTAAATAAAACATACAACACAGTGAAGAGCAGTCATATGGGCAGTTCACAAAACCAAACTGAAATTGCTAAATTGAAGAAAAATTCCTGAAGTTTGCAGTTTGATTCTTAGATTCAGGTGTGAAAAATTTACTGACTTACAAAATGCAAAAACTAGGCAGATTGCTCCATCCTTTAAAAGCAGCTGTAATGGCATCAGCTGCATTTTTAATGGCTCCTTTCTGAAAGCCAGTGGAGAAACCCAGGCCTCTCTATTTGTGTGTCTTGTGCTGAATCTAGAACTGGGTAATGCTTCTTGAGTCTGAAATTACAAATACAATGGATGTTGCAAAGCAATAAAGACTGGAATGAAGCATTGGCACTTTTTACCTCTTGACAAAAAGTATGCACACAGGAAAGAAATGAGCCCTACAGGAGCCTCGCATTGTGTATGAGACTATGGCTGAAAGTTTAGCAGTCTTACATAGAATTAGGAGAAGAATGTATATTTACAAAAGCTTTACCTTTAAAAATATGGATCTTGCTAGCCAGAATTTATAGAAGTACTATGTACTACACTACCACTTACTCTGTTTTCTGAGTGTAATTCTTATTGCAGCTTTAAATTTTTCTTAAAAAGAAAGAAAACCTAACTTATACAGGCTTTGAAAGGATAAAGTGCTTGCTTCCTTGTTTAACTAATTAACCAACAACACATGTGAACAGACCTTTTTTTTAAACGAATAAAGCAAAGCTTGAAATCTTACAAAAGATAGACATTTCTTCATTATTCAGGTGGTGAGACACTGGCACAGGTTGCCCAGGGAAGTTGTGGATGCCTCCTCCCTGGAAGTGTTCAAGGCCAAGTTGGACAGGGCTTTGGGCGGCCTGGTCTGGTGGGAGGTGTCCCTGCCCATGGCAGGAGGGTTGGACTGGATGATCTTTAAGGTCCTTTCCAACCCAAACCATTCTGTGATTCTGTGATTTCAGTGGGAAAAGAGAATGAGTAAGGGAAATTACAGGAACATTTAATATTGAAAAGGTAGTATCTATGTAATACATATGAGTGTATAGTCTTCTGGCGTATTTCAATTAATTGTAGTTACTTAATTTCTTTCAAGGCCATGGAACATCCTTTAATATAGACTGTAATGTCTGTTCATGTTTTGCTGGAAACTTGATATGTTCTACACGTCAGTGTCTAACTGAGCATAGTTCAGAAGATGAACGTCGGAAGTTTACAGGTAACTTTCCAAAGCATGGAAACTGTAAGCTTAATACTCTTAGAATGAGGATTAGCTTCTAACATCTTTCTACAGTATTAATGGAAAATACCTAATAATTTGTTATTAATATACTCTTTTAAATATTTATTTTTCTCATGTCCAACCTGAACTTCAGAAAAAACACATACCTGTAAACAAATAGCAGTACTGAAAGTTAAAAGCTCAGTTTATATGTAAAAATAGTTAGAGACAGGGTAATGCCACTGAGGACAAGAGATAAGGAGTTTTGAGGGGGAAATGGAGAAAGCTGAGTAGAATCCGTGAGGAGGCAGGGCAGAAACTTCCCTTAATACTACTTTAAAGTGCATGTGTGCTACAGCATTACTAAATTACAAGAGGGAGGAAGTGACTGAAGATAGGGCACATCTTTGCATTTGCTGGAAGGCAAAGGTATCTTAGTGAACCCTTGTGTATCTTCCATCACAGAAAATAAATGTGCACCAAATTCCTGGTTTGTGTGTTGCTCTTGCAGGTTTGCCATGTAACTGCGTAGACCAGTTTGTACCAGTGTGTGGTCAGAATGGACGCACGTATCCAAGCGCATGTATAGCTCGTTGTGTTGGGCTCCAAGACAATCAGTTTGAGTTTGGATCATGCATTTCCAAGGATCCTTGTAACCCTAACCCGTGCAATAAAAATCAGAGGTAAGAGCAAAATGTTTGGCATCATCTACTCATGAAGCAGGTTTACCTTTTCTTTGAATGTGTTGTATATTGTAGTAACATTCTACTTTTGGGATACTCCAATCAAAATAATGTTGGACGTAGCTACTTTTTATTTATCGTAGTTAGCAATGGACTGTAATAACTGCCAATTCTTGGTTCTGTTTATGTAGTGCTCTATCGTTTCAATTAATTATGCAGATCTCAGCTTTAGCAGTAGAAGAGAACTGATGTATACTTTTAAAAAATGAGAATCAGATTTTTTTGGAATAGCAGTAAGTGCATTTTGCTGCTTTGTTTCACACCTTCTTTAGTAGTTTAAAAAAACAACCCCACACCTAAATTCAAGACTTGGATTCAGTCTCGTTTATTCAGTCAATAATCTGTGCTTTTTATCTCTAAAACAGGAAAATACCAATCAATCTGAAAGACTTGAGTTTTAATGACAGAAAACCCAAAATCTCTATACATGAACATAATAAAATAAAAATATGCTCTGTGCTAATGTCAGGAGAAAACAAAATCAGACCAAAATCAAAGGCTGTGGCTCGTAATACTGGTCTCTGTCTTCAATTTTCTCAGTGTTGTGCAATACTGCAGCCTCCTTTGATTTGGTTCATTTTTTCTGTTTTGAAAGAAAGTCACCATAAGAAGTTGTGTAATACTGTGCTTTCATGAAAACTGATTGTAGCAATTTTATTTATTTCCTTCTTCTGCACTTTAAGTGCCTTGATGCAGAAAACTGCAGAGAAAACACTGTAGTTTTGTAGCTGTCATAGACATTGTGGCACTAAAAACTGGAATTTCAAAGCTGCATTGTGTAGATACACTTTTTACCTTTTAAATTTTGTTCTGGAAAGTATAGAGAGTTTTTTCAATTTTACAGAAGAGCCATTATGCTTAGAACTTCAACTTTTATTTTAAATAAAGGGCTGTACACAGTATGTTTTTCTGGGTCAGTTTGATAACAGAGAATTTTGAAATGTCCATGTTTAGTTTACACCTCTGAAGTGCTTGGAATCTGCTTAAGATCTTACATTCCACTTGTAAAGTGTTTAAATTGCAGAATTTCTGAGTCTTCCCTAATAAAAAAGGAAAATGTGTAATGTGTAGGGCAGCAGCACTCACAGAGAATAAGGATCTATTGTACATAATCCAGTGGTAGCGTTGTTGTCATTTATAGAAGGAGGAGATTGTTAAAAAAGCCATTTGGCCGTCATCATTCTGTCCGTCAAAATCTTTTGAGTTGCATTTCTCTAGCAGAGGGATGTGTTGAAGGGCATATGGCAAATGTTTTGTGAGTAAGACCATTGAAGGTACATATTTAATATAAAGAGGAAATAATTTCTGCTGTTTATTGCTGCTCTTATCTGTGAAGGCTTGAGGAGGATGGCATGCCAAAGAAGGGAAGTGTGTTATTGCTAGGTTTTTCCACTTGTTTGCAGTCATCTCCAAGATTGAATGCGGTATAATAAACTGAACCTACAAAGCAAGAATCCAATTAAATATTTGTAATTGAAACCATATTATCTTGTAAGTCTTGTTTTCACTGCCTTCTCAAGGAAGGCTGAGGCTAGACCTCTGCAATCTAATCTTTTCCTCTTGCAGTTCACTGTTCTGATGTTTTGTTTAGTTTTCCTTAAATATGCATTTACAAAATGTGGCTTGGGAGTAGATAAGAAGTTTCTCCAAGCCTTTTTTGAAAATCTGTTGAAAAATACCCGGTAAAAGATTAATTTTAGTGGAAACTGTAGTTGTGTTCACACACATGAACTAAACGTGGTGTGAACCAGTTTCAGGTTTGTGATGAGATGTAAAATTGGCTATGCTGATTGTTTATCACACGTATTTCTTGCAGCTCTGATGATCCATAGTTACCTGTAAAGCACTGGAAAAGGTTTCACTGAATGTATTTTCCCTGAATGTTTTGAGACTTAAAAGAAAAAAACAAACAGTTATATGATATGAAATTATTATTACTTTATGCAGGTGCATACCAAATAAACAAGTTTGCCTGACTAGTTTTGGAAAGTTCGAATGTAGCCAGCATGAATGTGTGCCAAGGCAGTTAAATTGTGACCAGACACGGGATCCTGTCTGTGACACAGACAATGTGGAATACAGCAACTTGTGTACTCTGTACCAGAAAGGAAAAAGTTTAGCATACCGAGGACCATGCCAGGTAGGAAGTGGTTCTAGCAATAAATACCAAATCTTCTTTGTTCTCTAATGTTCAACTTCACAATATTCTGGGGTTTGTAGCTTACACAATGTTCTCATTGAAAGTAATTCTTTAAAAAAGTAATTCTCACTAGTATAAAAATAACTCACAAATTTATATTCGGAATTTTGTCAAGTGTTTCTCTGCTTTAATTAACAGTTGTCTCGAAACCAATCAAAAGCTTTACTTATGCTTTCTTGAGGATAATACTCTATTTATATTAATTTTTTCATATTTTTCACTGCTAAAGCTTGCACTGAGGTATGTTTGCAGTAATTAGTGCACTTCCTTGGTTAGTTAAATGCCACTTTTTACCAATTTGAACTTGTTTAAAACAAAAATAAATGCCCAGTCATAGAAAGTCTTCAGCACCTTGTGTGGTTTCTGTGCCCCAAGTTCATTTTTCATTTTCACCGAAGTTTTGTTAGAGACTAAGCAGTCTGTAACATTTTCTTTAGTTGGTCTGGGTTGGATTAGTCTTCATATTAATCCCTGAGAAGGATTAGGATCAAGTGTAGTTCTTCCATCCCACCTCTCCCTACAGTGTTGGTGGACAAGCTATTTCTTTCACTTTATGAGAAAAGTCAGCAGCTACTCTTTTCAAAGTTGCTGGCTTTACCCTTTATAGGCTGTTCATCTCCAGGTTTTTCTCTAATTATGAAGATTAATGTGAGGCCTTCTCTTGGTCTCAGCTGATGGGTATTCTTAGAAGTTGTCATAATTTAGGCAGTTGTTCTATCACCCAGTGACCTTCTTCACCCAAGGAAGGGAGTCGGGAAAAGGAAAGGACACCTGTGGGTTGAAATGAAAGCATGTAATAACATAGTAGTAAGAAACTATTATTAACATTAAATACGCAAACCAAAGTGTCTTATCAACTTTGTTCCCACTGAATCAGGTGCTGTAGTCTTCTCAAAACTGCAGCATTCCTGAATAGAAAACTGATTCTATGTTTCTATCCCAGTGAAACCAGAAGTACTGAACATTTTTTCAGGGTTTTTCTGTATTAGAAATGCTGTTGCTCTTTTAACCCACTTCTAGTTTCTGCCTTGCTGTCTTTATACCTTCTTTTTCTTGCCCTTTTTCAGCAACCTCGTTAAGTACAGATAATTCTTCTCATTGCACATCAGATATCTCATGAGATACTCAGAGAAAGTTCAGCCCTTGAACAGTAAGAATCAAAGGAATATTGCATGGCTGGTTTTTTTCTGCAGCAGTTGTGTGTGTAGTTGCATCCGTGTTCACAAAGTCTTTGACACTGGTAGCACTAAGTTTTCGCTCTTCCTTTTATAGGGAAGATGACTGTAAGATGTGAAACTATTTGGGGTGCTCACATTTACTTGTCCTTTATCTGTTTTGTTGTTATCTTTGGTGTGTAACACAAACTGTAATTATCTTGCTGTTTTAGAAGGGTATACAGGGATCATGTAGCTATGATGACTTACTTGAAATATTAGTTAGTTTAATAAAATGTTTAGACCTTAGCAAGAAATTATAGACTGAGTTGTGTCATCTCATAAGACTGAGCAAAAGTCTTAGTCATTCCTCTCTCCAGAGAGTCAGCAACTCCATTTCCTTCTGTCCTTGTTCAGAAGCTTAAGTTTATTGGCATTTGGCCTCTTAAATGTGTTGGTCTAATGTATGTGCACAGGTGGAATAGGAAGAAACTATATTACAGTTTGCTTTGATTTTTTACAAGAAATGAGTTTTCCTAATATTTTATTTATTACTTAATAACATTATAATAATATTAAGTCTAATTAATTTAATAAGTAAGTTAATTTCAATTACATGGCCATTTTATTTAAACATTAGCACAGAACAAAATTGTTGCTTCCCAAAACATGTCTTGTAAGTTGCAATCTGAGAAATGTACATTTTTGTGTCACCTTCTTTAAGTACTTATTCATTGCATTTATTACCCATTCATAAACTGGTTATCTACTCTAGATTTCCTGCTTTTTTGAATGTTTGAGACTATAATCAGCAAATTCCTATTAACTTTGTTTTTCCTACTGTTAAAACTACTCTGAATTTTTGTCTGTAGCATGAATATATTGATCTTTGAAGTATTTCTATGTGTTTCAGCCCTTTTGCAAATCAGTGGAACCTGTGTGTGGACACAATGGGGAAACCTACAGCAGCGTCTGTGCTGCCTATTCCGACCGTGTGGCTGTGGACTATTACGGACCCTGTCAAGCTGTGGGTGCTCTCTCAGACTACGGTTTCCATACAGAGTGTGCCTTTGTTAAATGTCCTCAGCTCTCTGCCACCGGCTGCAAACCGGTTGTTGCACCAGGTATGTTCATTTGTTGCTGAAGTTTACTGCTGATACGTGACAGTCTTCAGGCTAGGCATGTATTTGGAGCAAAACTTAGACTTTAAAAGAGTCTTCTAAAATGAGGTGTCTGACATAATCCACCTGGATTTGCGCAAAGCATTCAACACTGTCCTGCATGACATACTGGTCACGAAACTGGAGAAACATGGATTTGATGAACAGGCCACTCACTGGATAAGGAATTGACTGGATTGTCGCACTCAGAGAGCTGCGGTCAACAGCTCAATGTCCAAATGGAGACCAGTGACGAGTGGCATTCCTCAGGGATCGGCACTGGGACCAGTACTGTTCAACGTCTTTGTCAGTGACATGGACAGTGGGATCGAGCAGAGTCTCAGCAGGTTTGTGGATTACACCAAGCTGGGTGGTGCAGTTGACACACTGGAAGGAAGGGATGCCATCCAGAGGGATCTGGACAGGCTGAAGAGGTGGGCCCGTGCCAACCTCATGAAGTTCAACAAGGCCAAGTGCAAGGTCCTGCATCTGGGTAGGAACAATCCCAATCACAAATACAGGCTGGGCACGGAATGGCTCAAGAGCAGTTCCGAGGAGAAGGGCCTGGGGGTATCGGTAGATGAAAAACTCAACATGAGCCAGCAGTGTGCGCTTACAGCCCACCAGATGAAGGCCAACCACATCCTGGGCTGCATCAAAAGAAGTGTGGCCAGCAGGTCAAGAGAGGTGATTCTGCCCCTCTACGCTGCTCTCGTGAGATCCCACCTGGAGTACTGCATCCAGCTTTGGGGGCCCCAATATAAGAAGGGCATCGAGCTGTTGGAGCAGGTCCAGAAGATGATCATAGGGCTGGAGCACCTCCCCTATGGGGTCAGGCTGAGAGAGTTCAGGCTGTTCAGTCTGGAGAAGAGAAGGCTCTGAGGGAAACTTATCGTGGCTTTCCAGTAGCTGAAGGGGTCCTACAGGAAAGCTGGGGAGGGTCTTTTTACAAGGGCAGGTAGTGATAGAACAAGGGGGAATGGTTTTAAACTGGAAGAAGGTAGATTTAGACTAGATATTAGGAGGAAATTCTTTGCTGTGAGGGTGGTGAGACACTGGCACAGGTTGCCCAAGGAAGTTGTGGATGCCTCCTCCCTGGAAGTGTTCAAGACCAGGTTGGACAGAGCTTTGAGCAACCTGGTCTGGTGGGAGGTGTCCCTGCCCATGGCAGGGGGGTGGGCTGGGTGGTCTTTTAAGGCCCTTTCCAACCCAAACCATTCTGTGATTCTGTCTAAAAAAAGATGAAGTACAGATATTTATTTAGGGCTAGAACAAGCCAGTATTGGGACTCAGCTGAGTAATTCTGAAGTGCATGCTCCTTCAGTCTTTAGAAACTTGCAGCTGTCCCCACAGGACTGATGTGGGAGAAATGAATGAGGTCTGTGGTGTCTTGGGTAGAATGTCACTGGGAATCGGACAAGTAGTTTTTCTGAAGTAGCAGCACAAATACCACACTGGAATGCCAAACTCTGTTGTCAAAGTAGAGTTCCCAGAAGGACAAAGATGATATTTAATTAGAAGACATAGTAAGATACCACATGTCTTCCCCTTTCACAGTACTGTAAATACAGTAGGAATAGTTTTGTAGTTGTGCTGCTTTGAACTGGGTTTTTTATTGTTTTCACAAATACTTCCTTTATGAAACAGTCAGTAACTAATCATAGGTAATATGCAGAGCAAGGAAAGCTCGGTTTTTAAAAAGAAACAGTTTTATGCATTTTTCTAATTCAATGAGAAAGGGTCTTTGTGCTTTGGTATTGCATTTAATATTGTAAAAGTCACTGTGTGAATGTCAATTACATATAGGTTGGGGGATGAATTAAATACGCACTCATGGGTAGACAGTTGAAATACTAGCCCTTTGATTTCTGAGATGGTGAGGAAAAACAGTAGGAGAAATATGACATGCTTCTGAGTTAAGCACAGATCTGTCAGGCAAGTCTTTCTTTCCCCCCTTATTATATAAAGATTCTAACCTCTGACGTGATAGAACTGCATAAGTTAATGTTTGCAGTGGGCATAATTGCTTCTCTCATGTCCTAGCTCTTGAAATTCCTACTTTCTGTAGTTGCATATGTCCACACAAAACCTTGGCTTGTAGTATGCAAAGTGCCTGTGGTTTTTAGCTTACAATAATGTATCATCTTGAAACAAAAATTCATCTTGTTGATTCATGCTGATAGTAGTAAATGTGTGCTGAAAGGTGACTGCTTTTGCATTATAAATGTTTTCAACATCAAAAAATCAAATGCAATTTTGCTATCAAATTGAAACATTTACTTTGCTTTGGTAGTTTTGCTGTTTTCATTCTCAGTTAACGTTCAACTTTTGACCACTGCTTACTTAAAAGAGAAAAGACTATTTGCTTTTATTTCTGAGATTATTTTATTCACATAGGAGCCTGCTGTCCACTGTGTGCTGGAATGCTGAGAATCTTGTATGACAAGGACAAGCTGGATACTTTTGCAAGGGTAAACAGTTCAATCATGCTTTATGTTAAATGTTACAAGAAGAAGCCAAGTTACTGTATGCTCTCTCCTGAAAAATTAACACATTATAAAACCTATTACATTTCAGCAGATATTGTGTGATTTGATTTTTCTCTTTTTACTGTTTATACTTTGTCTTAGGTGTAGAAATTCAGTTACTATGCAAAGAAAAACAGAATTAGAGTAGGCACAAACAAGCATATTCTGGTTTTCAGTTTAAATGACCTGTAATAGTAAAGACAAGTGCAATGGGAATTGCACCTATCCTGTGGTGGTAATGCAGTGCATATCTGTTACTTATGGCCTTTTCGTTACGGTTACTCTGCTAGCTCACTATTTTCTCATGTAGGCAACTGAGTTCTGACATTGTCTTATGTTCAAATTGGATTGTTTTACATTCCTTGGGTTATCTACAGAGTTGTCACTGATTTTGTTGCTCATCAGCTACAGTTTTGGGTTTAATTTAACGTCTCTGTTAGGCACCAGCATCCGTCATTGCTGCTCTTTGAAACCCTCTAGCGTAAGACGGATCTTGTGATGTTGATTGTCTATCACTGAACACGACATGCTAGACCCAGATTCCCCATGTGGTGTATAAAAGGATTGCACTTTAGTGACCCCTGCTTTTGTGCTTCAGTATATGGAACAGAGCAGGATCCTTGATTTTTTGGCACAACATCACAACAAAATAATGTAATATGATGATCCTGCCTAGTGAAGCAAAACAATTCATGTTCACATCTGCACATGATTTTTTTAAATATCAAGAAGAAAGATAACTTCCTCAAAACAATATAAAATTACGTTAACCTATTTGTATGTTTAGAAGTAGAGAAAATTAGCTATTGTAAAAACACAGAAAAATTTAGCTTGAACAGGACCCCTGGAGGGGTGAAGTCCAACCCCCTGCCCAAAGCAAAGTTAACTCCAGTTAGATCAGCTTGGCCAGCTGAGTTTTTAAAACCTCCAGGAGTAGAGATGCCACATGCCACATGTGGCTGGACTCTCTCCAGAGCATCAGTGTGGTCTAGGAGGGGGCGTAACTAAAGGGTGACAGTGACTTCCGCTGGCTCTGTGCTTGCTGTTGCAGCCCAGTGTGTGGTTGGCCATCATCTGGGTGCGCTGCTTATTGATGTTCTTCTGATCTCCTGTCAGATTTTTTTTGTGCATGTGTGCACGTTGACTGGTTTTGCTCAGTAACAGCATCTGTAAGGTCATGACTGCACCCTGTGTCTTCCAGTTGTCATCTGCAATGGTACCAAGGACACAGCGACCACTGCAGCTTCTCAGTTCATACATGACAACATGTGACTGTGGAGAATTTTCAGTTCTAGTTAGAATAAGGCTTTCTAGTTAAAGAATTTGACTTACTCAAGTAGTTATTCAGGTAGTTGGTGATAACTACTTTCCTCTCACCTACTAAGTACCCTAATCCAGGTATTAGGGTACTTAGTAATTGCTTTTTATTCCTTCTTTTTTCCCCTCTCTTTTTTCTTCCCTTTGTCACCACAGTCTTGCTGATTTTCTCTTCTCTTGCTTAACTAACACCACAATACACAGTCTTTTCAGAACTCATATACATATCTTTAAGTTTAAAATATGTGATCTTTCAAACATTCAGGTCAGCATTCTCTTAGCACATACTAGAAATCACAGAAGTTTGACTGAAGCACTCTTCTGTGGAAACTTGAATCGGGGTCATTCAATAAGCCCCAGAAATGATCTCTAACTGATCACAGCCTCCTGGAGGCTGCATGGGGTGGCACTGCCCTGAGCACAGTTAGAAGCTCTGTGCCTTTGTTACTGCAGAGGCCAGCTAATATCTCCTAATAATACAAGAGAAGATGCCCAACTGTGTATTTGAGTAGATTTGATACTTTTGTCATCTACATGAATTGATTGTAAATAACATTGATCTCCTCTGGTTCCATCAATAAAAGTGTAGGATTGGTGTGCAGCTCTTGCTTTTGACAGTGTACGTATACATGCAGTGTATTCCTCTGTTGTACTGGAGATTATTAAGTCTCAGATAGATGGAATTGTTGCTAGAAATGCTGGTGTACACTTTAACCAACTCAAAATGGCAAGGAGTAGTAACGTGCCTGTTTTAGTTCAGACAGGTGGTTCCTATGAGAATAAACTGCTTCAGTTACTGTAGAGTTCCGTAAATCTGACTCTTTTTTTCTCCTGCCATCCTTCTGACCTTTTTTTTTTGTAAAGATAGCAGGAATCAAAATTCAGCATCTATGCAGGTCTTAAGATCATCCTTAAGTTATCCATCTGCTTCTGTTTTAAGACTGCTTGTACTGGGTTTGCTGACCAGTCAGCATGTCAGGCTGCATTTTAATGGAGCTATGACAAGGAAATGCCTCAAAGATCTGGTAAAAGAAGTCTTGTGTGACACTTGGCAAATCTGATTTTTGTAGTCTACTTGGATTTCCCAGATTTTCATTTGTTAAGATCCTGTACCAGTGGTCAAAAGAAACAAAGCTACAGTAGGCTAGGAAGGATGGATCTCTTGCCGCTAAAGCTAGAGAACAGAACACAACAGAATGATGAGAAGTCACAAGTGAAATGTTGGTGTTGGTGTCTGTACTGTTCAACACATCCAGAAGTGGCCTGCAAAAAGGGTGAAAAACCTTTAAGGTGTGGCAGTCCTTAAACAGACTGAGCATCTATAGTCAAATTACTATAGACCGCAAAGCAGAGATAACAGTTTTGAGAGAAAAGTATATTTACCTGGTAGTTACGTAGCGATCTTGTAATGTCTCATGTACACACACACACACAGATAGATATATAGATATATATATATGTATATATATACACACACACATATATACAGACACATCTCTGTCTTCACAAAGCCATAGCCCTTCATTTCTGGTGGCTCTTGGAACAGGTTCTGTGACAGTAAAGGAGTGCTGGCTGCTAGGGTTGCTCTGCCTCTTGCTTCCCAGCTTCAGAGTACAAGCCACTGTACCAGATAACCACCTGCATTATTTTGAGGTACTTACATGTATAAAAACTAACCATGAAAGTGGAGAGCAACACAAATCAAATCCGTGGTTAATTTAAGATTTTTCTCATTGTTTTCACTTTTTTATGGTTTTGGGGGTGGTGGTTTTGGTGTTTGTTTTTTTTTTTTTTGCTTAGGGATGACAAGTGAGTAGTTTAATGGCTGAAACAACATTTTACAACATGACAAAGTTTTTAGAACTGAAAAGAAATGTAATTTTGCATAATATCACATCACCTACAAAGTTCTTTTTTTTCTCCCAGGTAACAAATAAAAAGCCTATAACAGTACTTAATATACTTGAAAAGATCCGCCTGCATGTCTCCGTGCCACAGTGTGATGTGTTTGGATACTTAAGCATAGAGTCCGAAATTGTGATTCTCATCATTCCCGTGGATCAAAACCCCAAACCACTGCAGGTAAACTGTGCTGTTATTTTGTTTACCCACTATGGATTTACTTCATTTTTATATGTGTACACTTTATTATTTTCAATATGGCAGTTTTAAAATTGTGCACTTTTCTCTGTACTGAATACATGGGGAGTTCTCAGATCTGAATAGCGAGTATTAGGGATTGTAAAATGGGTCTGGAGAGTTCTGCTTTTCTGGTAAGAGGCTTTTGAGTGTGGGTAACCAGAGGGAGGAGGTGGAGGAAGGCCAAGGATAGAGTAATATGACTTTTTGTTTAAAAATTAGTAAATGCAGAACCGTCAGTCTTTTGTGGCTAAAGTAGCAGAAAATACAAATGGATGAAAAGAAATAAATTACTGAAAGATCTCTTATTAAATATAATATATATGTATATTAAATGCATACCTGCATATGAAATGGTACTCCTTTGTCTCCAGTGTAATGGTTAAAAGTAGATTGAAGTATGTGTGGAATTAGGTGCATTGTGCATGTCTTGATGTTAAGCAATAGTTGATACCAAAGAGGATCTGGTGATACTATTCCAAGACCATTCTCGTTTTGATATTCCTTTCCACCCTATGGTGAGAAGTGCTGGGAGATGCCAAAATGCAATTACAACCTTAAAAAGGAAATAACATTCCAATAAACTGCCCAGCTTGCTGTGTCATAGCTAGTCCATGCTAGCGAACAAGAACTTAACACTCACACTAGTAAACTCTAAAAGTAAACCAACAAATGCAGCTCAAAGTTGTTACAGTATTTCCTTAGGAGCAGCTCAGAGCAACAGAAGCAAGGCTTTGGCGATGTCCTGCGTTATTATTGTCTTGGAGCTGTTGCTTTGGGTTTACTTTCTGCTTGAGAACCTGGGCAGGACCAGTGAGAGTGAGGATATCTTCATCCTGTTAAAAGGAGCGTAATTCCTTGCCATTTCATAGTTGTTTCCCATAGTCTTGCCTGGCCCTGCTGACAGCACTTTATAATGAAGTCCCTTTGGGGATCAGGTGCTCTGGCTGGCTCATTATGTTACCTGACATCTTCGTGTGCACTGCTGTAAAATGAAGGATTTAGCTTTGGAAAGGAACGGGAAAGAAAACCTGCCCACAGTCTCTCTCTCATCTTTTACAATACAAACCAAATTCAGGCAGACTTCCTTGTTTATTTCTTATGGATGGCTGCTTTCCAGTTTCATTTGATTTCTACAGTTTAATTTTGCGTGCTCAGTATTGTTTCTGGGATGGGCTCAAGTTATGGTATAATGTGAGGAGACAGAATCACTGCCATAAACTTTGCAAGCTGCGGTATCTCATAGAGTGGTTGCTTCTCAGGCAGATATATATATTGTGTGTATTTTGCCCGTGCTACTCGAGCCAACCCTGTTATGTCCAAGTCAGCTCCAGCTTATGTCTTCTCCTTCAGCAGAAATAGCCCAAAATGTTCTCAGGACTTAAGAGACAAGGAGACTTGAGCCTTGCCAACCTGGTCAGCTCTCGCTCCATCTGCAACAGGGGGTACCAGACTTCTTGGAGGAGATTCTCTGAAATCAGAGGGGCCACCTGAAACCACGGAGGAGCTGCTCCTCTCACTGGTGATACCCTTTGAGCTATAATTTCCTCAACTTTCAGAGCTTTGGGCATCCAGATACTAAGTTTGTCAAGTTAAAACTTCACCAGAGGCAGCTTCCAAAGCTGTTAAAGAGACTTAGTACTAAATTGGTTCCTAGGTTGCAGTAAGGTGGTAAAAAATGGATTTTCTGACATCAGTTTGTAACTATCATCATGTGGGAGAATGGAAACCTGGAAACTTGGGTTTTCTCAGGTTTTCCTATTACTTCCATTCTTCTCTTCCTTTCCCATAAAATAAATCAGTTTTCCCTGATTTGGAAGAAAAAGCCCAATAAGTAGAAAATCCTGATTTTTTTTTCCAGTGTTGCAGACGTCAAGGCAATATCTTGGTCAGTCAGGAAGGAATTCCTCAATTCTAGAGGTACTTACTTTAGTTATAATTTACTGTGGTGTCAACATTCAAAATGCAAAACTTGTCTGTAGTTTCTCTCCTTCCCTTTTGCTACTACTCAGGGTTTCTGCAGTGGTTTTCAGAGTACCAAAGTCTACAGTAAGAGCTCTGATATGTTTTCTAGGAAATACTCCCCAGAATTATATGAATCTTATGTGTTGATGGGAATAACTCAAATTTTCTTTCCTGAATTTTGCTACCTAGAAACATTTTTGCATTAGCAGTTTACATGGCAAGAAGATAAAGAATGTATTTTTTTTCTTAGATCGAAGCCTGCAATAAAGAAGCAGAGAAGATAGAGTCCCTGATAAATTCAGACAGTCCAACATTAGCATCGCACGTACCGCTGTCAGCTCTGATTGCATCTCAAGTGCAGGTTTCGTTGAGCATTTATTCTGCTTCTGTTCAAGTGGTGCCTGCTCTGCACTCCCTGTTCATAAGCCTTTCTTTCACCTTGTCAGGGTTCATGTGTTCTATGTAACTGCCTCGAAAATAGGCACGAGTGTTGCGGCCTTTTATATTGTGAAGGACATTCAGAATTGTTGGTCACTGCAAATCAGAAGTTGCAGACGATATGATGAACTAATATTTTCAATGAAGAACCAAAAGTATTAGGAATCATGGGAAGTATTAGGAATCATGATTCTTTTATTCGTTACTTGTCAGATGACTTCTCCAGCACAATTAGGTTGGTTTCCATTGTTCTTGGAAACATAAAAATACTCTGGAAGGTTCTGACATTGTGGATTTATGATTATTTTGTTGAGAAGGGATCTTATATAGGCTTGGTTTTTTCAGCAATGCACAAAACAGTGTTTTGAGTTTATTGAAGAATGTTAATTTTATATTACTCAGATGCATATCAGTGGCAACGAGAAGCACGCACCTATTTTAAACATAATTTTTGAAGAAACAGATTGCTGCTACTTAATTACCTTACCAAAAAATTAAGAGTTTATTCTCGTGTAAATATGCTTTCATATTTTATTATGAAGAAAACTATCTAACCCTGGGCCTATTTCAGTAGATGTCTTTACTTGGATGAGTGAAGACTTGCAGGACATTGGGCTCAGTGCTTGAAAAATGACAATCAAGCTCTCTACTAGTGCTGGACTTCATTGAAGAAATGTGTTCTTTTTATAGTTTTGTACATTTCAGAATCTCATATTGGATGCAAAATTATAAAGACTCTCAGTATCTATATTTAAGTGCCATTTAAAATATTGCAGTATTTGCATGCTATCTAATGAAATTTATACTTTAAATGTTTATACGAACAGTATGTTTTATTACTTATTGTATTTTATGCACCTGACCTTAGTCTACATGAAGTATTTTATATCAGTATTATGATAACCAACTTCTGAAGTATATACAGAAAAACTTATTTTTGCCAAAATGCTGAACTTCGAAAGCACTGAAAACTTTTTCAACACGTATGTTGTTGTAGCATGTTTGTAGCAATTATTTTCTGCTAAATCTTTAAATGCAAAAGTATTAAAGCTTTTTATTTTAATAAAACACTGTCGTGTGTCCTTGTATATGAATACATGTCACTTTATAGAATTCCACAATACAGCGCATATTTTTCATTCTTAAATCAACACTTAAAACTAGCTGGGATTACATCCATTCGTGACTCACACAGTTTAATGTTACCAAATAAAGTACATTTCAAGGGGACTCAGGGGGTGTTGTGTTTTGGTTTTTTTACCAGCTCTGTGTCACCTTCATGTAAGTTTATGCTATGAGTGTCACTCGATTCACTATAGCAGAAGAATGTCAATGTCATAGAATCATAGGATCACAGAATGTGTTGTGTTGGAAGGGACCTTTAAAGCTCATCCAGTCCAACCCCCCTGCAGTGAGCAGGGACAATGTTACCAGATCAGGTTGCTCAGAGCCCCATCAAGCCTGACCTTGAATGTCTTCAGGGATGGGGTCTCCACCACCTCACTGGGCAACCTGTTCCAGTGATCTACCACCCTCATGTTGAAGAACTGTTTCCTAATGTCTAATCCAAATCTACCCTTTTCTAGTTTCAAGCCATTACCCCTCATCCTATCACTACATGCCCTAGTGAACAGCTCTTCTTCCCCAGATTTCTTATAGGCCCCTTTCAGGTATTGGAAGGTCGCTATAAGGTCCCCCTGGAGCCTTCTCTTCTCCAGGCTGAACAGCCAATGTCTTTATGGGACCCTCTTGGGTAAGGTTCCAGCCATCCTCAGCTTTGATTTGGAAGAGACTTCTCTCACCTACAGCTGAAATTCTGCACGAATGTTCAGGACCGAGTTACTGCATTATTTGTACCTCAACTTTAAGGCTCAACCTTCTCCAGGTACACTTATCCACATGTACTCTTGCAAGCTGGCAGAGTGAGTAAGCCTCCAGCAGCTGCTTTTTTAAGCAGGTCTCAGTTGGTGTCTCCTAATGAGTGAAGAGCACTTTAATATTTTAAGTGCGGTTGTACTCTATATACAGTCTCAGTACTTTTGGTAGATGAGTACAATTGCAGATAATCTTTGGAAGTGTTGTTGCCAAATAACTCCAGGAAGACTCACGCACAGAATCATCAAAGTCTGGATACAAAAAAAACTTGTTGGATATGTTGATAACCCATCTGTTTCTGATATTTCTGCTGTGGATTCTTTAGAAACTTGGACACGAGAGCACAGTGCATGCACTTGAAAAGCTTTTTGAACTGAAATGGCTTAGATGATCTCACCAGAAACTGCAAGCAATTCTGATGGTTTATTGAATTCCTTCTTTTTCCCAAATCCTTAGCAAGTATCTTCAACATGTAGCCTGTTAGCTTGCTTAGCGTTTAGCTGAAGCAACCTGATACCCACTAAAATGAAAGGAATTAAAAATGTCTTAAGAGTATTTTTATACACACAATATATGCTACACTGGAAAAATAAGAGCTTAAACACACACCTTTTGCGGAACAGAATATATAGTGATATTTACTTTGTCTTACAGCTGTAAAGATTTTCTTCAGTGAAATACAATACCAAAAAGTTGCCTCAATTTGCATGATAAATCTGGAAAAAGCAGAGTTTAAGCCCAGAGGTTTTTGAATTCACATGTGAGCATCCAGTACATGGTAGAGATAAGTGAAGTTTTTGAGTGGTTATGTTAAATATGTACAGAACATTTCGTATAGTCCTAAATTCTTGAGCATAAGTCCAGCATCCAGAGTGGATGGGATGCAGGGTTCAGGTTGTTTTTGCTGGATAAACAAAAGTCCTTAAATACTTTCTAGATTTTCTCAAGACCTCAGACTACCTCCAAGGAATGAAGAAACTACTTACTTAACAGTGTTGAACTCACATGAACTAGGAGAAAAGATGGAAGAAGCCAAGCCCAGTTTTACTTGCAAGTTACGAAATTTGACCCTAATGGGGACAGACTTGATACAGGTTTCAGCTGCGTTTTCAATATAAGTGCTAATGATGTCCCGTCACCATCTGTGTGGAAATCTGGGTTCGCTTAGGAAGGAATGGAGACAGCACGAGGGCACTTCAAAGCAGCACAAGCCTGTTTGTTGCTTTTATAACGGGACTTAGCTGAAACATTTAGAAAACAACATTTTCTTGTCTGCTGAAAGCCAGAGCTAATGTCAATAATTGGCTCTGGAGCGATGCCTCGGATCTGCTTCAGTTTGGTTGGTTGGGCTCTTCTCAGCAGGGTGGCAGAGAGGCGGAGGTGCCAGCAGTGCCTGTTGGTACAGCCCTAGGAGTAGATCAGCCACGGGGGCAAATACTGGAGCAAACAGGAGCAAGGGATTTATGGCTTGCACTTTCTGCTGAGTTTTGAGTCCAGCAGGAGCTGGGCTTTTCAGATTTCAGAGAAGGAAATGGTTCTGTGAGAGGGCATGAAACCAGCACTTAGAACCGCAGTGTCACTTCATAGCCCACTCTTCCTTCATGCTCTAGTTTTACGCTGCTTTACTAAGTGTCTTACTTAGAGATTTGCATGTGTGTATCTTGATTGAAAGGTAAAGTGTTATTTATACATCCTTACTGAGTTTTATGACACTTTTCCAGGTCTTCCTTTCACACATGACAAAGTATATTTCAACACCATCGCTGTTTCTAGGAAGCCCAGGGGGCATTTACATGAGCAAATATAAATACATGAGTGCTTGGTAAGAGTGTGGCCTAGATGTTTCATATTTGAAGTCTGGACTGTAAGGTGACCCTCTAGTCACATGAATCCCAAATTGAAAAAAAATAGCACTGGGAGTTCTCTGCCAGGGTTGTTGCTAGACCTGACTGCAGCTTCCTGCATGTTCTTTGAACTGGTGCTTTTATACAGTGAGCCCAGTAGCTGCAGCTGTGCCATGGGAGTACAAATTAATCTCCCAGGGGAAGTGGTGAATTCCCCTACACCGGTCAGATTTAAGAGTCAGCTTGACAGGGTGCTGACTCATCTCATTTAAACTGTACCTTTACCTTGAGAGGTTGGACTAGATGATCCTTGTGGTCCCTTCCAACCTGGTATCCTATGATTCTCTGATTCTATGAAATGAAGGCAACAACTGCAGGTACCAACTCCACCTCCTAGCAGTGGCTGCACCTACCACTTGTAAGGCACTCTGCCTTCCGTGTAAATGGTGGTGCTTGTTTCGTGCTCTTTCTCCCATTCCTCTCTGGGCTACGAGCTTTTGCAGAGCCCATTGCATAAGTGAAAGAGACCCTGAGCTTAAAACCAAACAAAAACTCTCTTTGAGAAAAATGTTTCCAAGCCTTAGCAGGTTTGTTTGTCTCAAGTTATCATACTGCAGTAAAAATTATATACTTTTAGCATTACGTAGTACATCAGCTTTTGCTAATTAATACCATGAAGCTGAATGTTTCAGCTGTTATATTTTAACCCAATCAATTCTATACAAATTCAATGCTATCAACATTTGCATTTGTTGAGGCTGATTGTGTATGACCAATATGGTGTTTAAAGCAAAGGTGATTACTCTGAAAATTGAGGAAACATCAATTGTCAAAAACCTTTCTTAATTTTAACTGGCTTTGTGCATGCACTGCTAAAAGGGAAAAAAAAAAAGCATGCACGTTTCATCTCAACTTAAGAAAGGGTTTTTTTGCAGTGGGAACACTCAGTCACTGGAACAACCTCCCAGGGACGCAGTGGAGTCCCCACAGCCAGAGATTCTGGAGATGCGCCTGACTGGACACGGTGCTAGATAAAGCACCAAAGGTTTGGACCAGGTGATCTTCTGAGGTCCCCACCAACCTGTGCTGTTCTATGATTAAAGTAATGCTTTTGGTTGCAAATATGGAAATTTTTGGCTCATTAAATTATTTTCAGATCTTATCTTACGAACACTGTTAGGATCTTTTATCATTGTTTTCAAAATGACATATAAAATGACTAATACTTCCCATTTTAGACTGCCGTTTTCACAATATATACATTAAAGCCATTAGAATATATTTAAACACTTTACACTGATCTAAGTTTTATTCCAATTATGAATGATAAAATAAGACTTCTGCAAGCATAACATAGCAACAGCTTTTATGACCAATA